AGGTCTTAAGGGCTTAGTAGTAATCTAAGTTAAATCAAAACTGATTACATGAGGATTAGAAAAACTAACACAATTAAAATTAAAACATCTTTCAATCATTACAAGCCCAATTATGACCAAAATTTTGCTAAGTATTCCAACAACACTAACTTGCCTCTTTAAGGGTCTTCACCCACATAATTCTTAAATTGAATTACGAGTGATAATTACCCTATTCTTAGGGATAATTGAGACATCAATGCTCACTGAGCACTAAGGGTATTTATAGGATGAATTATTAAGCAACATAATAAGTTTAAGAGAACTCGGGATTTTCCACAAGACAGCGAGAGAGTAGCACATACCTGCTTATTTCTCTAGATCTGTTAGATACCTCGGAGTCTACTAAACTTAATATGTTTTGCTTGACCAAATCATCTTTAATTAAACTCTTAAGGACCCACCAAGATATGACATAGGGTTAGGAAAACTACCTAAACCTTAATTTTTTGCCTCTACATGAACTGCTATCACATGCATTTTGAGTTTCAGGTGTTGGAACGAGAAGACTCGTCAGGTACGCTTTTACAGTTTTCAGCATTGTCTTTCTTGTACTTTTATGCTATACTTTTATGCTTACACAAATTTGCATGCTAAATAACGATGTCACTCTGCAAAACTAAAACTATCAGGATAGCCACAAAACCAAAACCAAAACTAAAACTAAAATCAACCAAGATAAAATTCACCGCCACAACATTCAAAATATAAAACAACTCAAAATTTAATCACAAACATCACACAAAACTACAAATTACAATTAAATTAAGATGTCTCTATCAGACGATCGGGAATTCCTTGAAGGAGGTAACCTACGGTTGCTAACGAGGCTTCCCACGATTTGAATGAAATTATGGAACTCATTAAGTTGAGTTTAGTAAATTCATTTTGACTAAGTGAATCCAATAGAAAATAGTGGTGCCGCCCTAATCAACTTTAACATGCCCCCATAAAATTTAAAGAACTACAACCATAAGGTCATCTGATTTGACATCATAACTTGACACCCTAGAAAACTCAAACTCGTCGCGGCAAGGAGCTTGGAGCTAGCATGCTGGGTAGCATGACCATCTTCAACAGCAAAACTTGTCTTCCTCAGCTAAACCAATCTTCCTTCCTTAGGCTTAAACAACAAAGTCATAGGACTTTGAGGTTGCTTGCTTATGCAACGTAAATCCTCACCTTATCTTGAGGCCTTTGTATAGCCCTGCTATACAATATAAGCTCTAACTTATCTTTGGATTTCGAGGTCCTCCTTCCTTAAATATAAACAACAAAGTCGTAGAACTTTGAGGTTGCTTACTTATGCAACGTAAATCCTCACATTATCTTTAGGCCTTTGTATAGCCCTGTCATACAATATAAGCCCTAACTCGTCTTAAGATTCTGAGGTTGTCGTCCGTCACGACCTAAATCCTCACATCTTCCAGCTATTGGTGTGATAGTTTCACACGAATGTAAGCCCTAACTAATAAAATTAGCAGGATGAAACACTTAAACATTTCTCCTCAAAACTGAAGCCAAACATTAGGACAGCTTGGGAAGTCACCAGGGTTCTCCTCTGGATCCATGACATCCCCTAGTTCTTCCTTCTTTGGACTCTACAACAAAATGTTCTAAATTTGAACCAATCCCCTTTCACATCTCTATGTCTGATCTCATTGAAAAGTCCTACCCTTTGAAACTCCTTGAAGATAATATTTCTTAATTTTTATCGAAAGTCTTCTTAGGTGACTTTGGTCATTTAAGATGTAATTAACTATAGGGGTTTGCCCTTATAGAAAGCATGTCTGAACCCAGTGTAATATAAACCCCATTTAATCATTTATATTAAATAGAGGAACTTGTCGGTAAATACAAAGGTTTCGCAGACCAAACGGACGTCATACTTTCCTTAGTTTATTTGATCGAGCCATATATATATATATATAAATTAAAACGTCCTTCCAAAGTGGGTGACCGGATTTTGATTCTGATGACCGACGACTTCTTACGGGCAACACTCCTTCAACCAAAAAATATCGCTGACAGAGCACAATGAATATGATTATCCTAAGAACTATCTAAAATTGAATAAATAATCCCAACATCTAACGACTTTAACATTTCTTTCTTAACTACATCTTTCATTATAGAATTCAATCTCCTTTGAGGATTAGTTTTAGGCTTATGGCTATCTTCCATCATAATTATGTTCATATATATTGAAGGACTGACTCCTTTAATATCAGCTAATGTTAATCCAAAGGCTTTTTTATGATTCTTTAATATTTATAATAATTGTTCTTCTTGTTTTGCAGTCAATTATGAGGATATAATAACTGGTAATGTAGATGAGTTCCCCAAATATGCATACTTTAGATAAGTAAGTAAAACTTTCATCTCAAGTTCAAGAGGTTTTTCAATAGATGGAATCAGAGGTATACTATTTTCAGTAGTATCTAAAATTTCATAACTTTTCTGAATAAAATTTGAATCCTCAGTAATCATTTCATTTGATTCACCTCCAGAATCTCCTTTAGTCTCAACTTTTTTGTTCTTTTTCTTCTGAAATGACTTCATCTTCTTGATCAAATATGACTTCACATCTATTTTGAAAATGATTAACAATCATATCATTAATAATATCCATTCTATAACATTTTCTATCATGATACTTCAATGTTTTGAGCACATTAAATGTAACTTCTTGATCATTCACCCTCATTGTTAATTCCCCTTTTTGCACATCTATCATTGCTTTTCCGGTAGCAAGGAAAGGTCCCCCCAAAATAATAGAAATTTCTTTATCTTCTTCCATATATAATATAATTAAATCAATAGGGAAGATGTATTTATCCACTTTAACTAACACATCATCTATAACCCCTTTAGAATAAGTGATAGATCAGTTCGCTAATTGTAGAGTTACAGTAGTGGGAGAAATATCTCCTAAACCTAAAATTTTGAATACATAAAGTGGCATAAGGTTATTGCTCGCTTATAAATCACATAAAGCTTTTCTATAAAATTTTTCTCCAATTGCACAAGGTATGGTAAAGCTACCAGGATCTTTGAGTTTTCAATGAAGCTTTTTCTGAATTATTGCACTACAATCTTCATTAAGTGCAACAATCTCATGATAAAAAAACTTTTTTTTATTTAAAACTTCTTTCATAAATTTAGTATAATTTGGCATATGTTTCAAAGCCTCAGCAAAAAGGGATATTTATTGTAAGTTTCTTGAATATTTCAAAAAATTTTGAAAAATGTTGCTCCAATTTTTGTTGTTTAAGTCTTAGAGGAAAAGGTGGTGAGGGTCTTTCTAAATTAATCTTAGTTGGAGAGTTAGGTGTTTCTGCCTTCGTATAAATAATTTCTTCAGGTCTTTCAATTTCTTCAACTTCTCTCTTAACTTCAATCTCTTTTTGAACTCCAACATTTAATTCCATTCCACTACTTAGTTGGACCACTTTAACTTGCTCTGGCTCTTTACTTTTTTTCTTTAGGATTGATCTCTGCATTACTAGAAAGCATTCTCTAAGACCTATTGCTAAGTGCATTAGCAATTTGTCTTAGTTGATTCTTAATATTTCTAATAGCAGCACTTTGACTTTGTAAATGATTGCTCATTTGCAACATTAGTTCTTCTATAGAAAACTTCTTCTCCTTAACGTGTTGATTGAATCCATGAGGATAACAAGGTCTAAAGTTAGCACCACCTTGGTTGTTCTAATTTCCCAATGGGTTGACTTGAGCATTCCCCAATTGTTGACTTCCACCACTAAGATTTTTGTTCCAATTAAAGTTAGAATGATTTTTTCAACCTAGGTTGTAATAATTTAAATAGGGGTTATTGGATCTGTTGATAGTATTCATAGTCTACAATGAACTATGAGAATCAAACATTTGTCCTAATGAATTTTCTTCAACTAGTTGGGGTATTAGAGAAAATTTTATTCCAATTTGGTCTATCTTCTTAGATAATACAGCAACTGACATGCAATCATTGAAATAACATCGTTATCATGAATACTAGCCACGTTCTTAGGATTTACCCTATCAGAAGGCCATTGAAAAAAAATTTTAGTCAGTTCTTCAATTAATGAATAAGCTTCATTAAAGGGTTTAGATATTAATGAACCTCTAGAAACAACATCTATAATAAATCTAAGGGACTCTACTAACCAATTATAAAAAAATTGAATGATTAACCATTTGATACACAAAAATGATATATTATTTTAAGTACATATTTTATGCTTATTTCTTGTGATAATGCATTTTAAAGAAGAGTGTTTTAATATTTTTGTTGTAGGTATATCATTTTTATGTATTTGGAGCAAAAATGGCAAAAAGGATGAAATTTGGAGCCAAAATAGTGAATTTTGAAATTCTGGTGTGTTTTCGTTTGTTTTTCTCTCTTTTATTTTAGAAAGAGTCTTTAGCTTGTCGATCGTCGTATACTTCTCCTATTTGAATAAATCTCCCTCTTGAATCATATATGTGATTCGAAGAGGAGAGGAATCGAATAAGACATACGACAAAACGACAAACAAGAGAAAACACAAAACGTGGAGAGCCTACGTGCGGTAAACCTCGCAAGGATAGGTTAAGAGTGTCTGCCCAAACAAGATCGGGCGAAAGCACCTTAAACCGATATCCACGAAAGAATACCTACGTAGACTACCAATAACTAGAGATTCAGGTGTAGGTACCTATTTTTAGGTCAAGAGCACTCCCAAGGGCTCCCAAGGGGACGCAAGGGGACGTATCCCACTTGGTTAATTACATCTTGGGGGGTACCCAAGAATACTCTCGATAAAAAGAGTTTCACTTAGATTATCGTGAACTTGGGGCAATAGGTACTCAAAGGAAGGTTATTCCGTATGGGAATAGTCCCGATGCTTTAAAGCTCGCGCTAAACCATTGGACAGAGGGTGAGTCTCTCACATCCCGAATAGGTAGCGGCTCATCGACACATGGGGCCCATGAAATAACCTAAATCATCTTGGCGGGGATATCCCGACACGTTAAAGCACGTCTGGGCCATAAGGGCAGAGGACAAATCGTCGTATCCCAATGGGCGGCAGCTCATCGGCATCAAGCCATCAAATCATATCAACGAAGTCAAGGAGCGACATGGCTCAAAGGGGCTCAACAAAAGGAAGGTAGAGTGATCCTAAAAGGTAGAGATAACTGGGTCGGGGTACCACGGACCCGTCATCCACAGCTATTAGGACCCTAAGTCTACCTGGTCGTGAAGGTAGTCGGCCCAACACGTCCTGAGATCGCGCCAATCCTTGAATTGCATTATCAATTGGACCCTCGGTAGCCCTAAGGTCATAGGAAAGAAACTCTATCCTATGACTAAAAGCTGGAGCTATAAGAGTTGGGACTTATACTTGCTAAAGTGTCAAGGATGCCTCAGGAAGGAAAAAAAATGGAGGTTTAGCTACAAAGCTGGAAACGCTCCAAACAAAAGGACTTACACCCTGTCTGGGTCAGGGAGCCTTCTAACACCCTAGGCGCACTAGATAACTACCTATAAAGAGGTATGTTGGGCCAGTCAGGTTGGAGAAGCATGGGGACTCCTCCTCGGGACATGCAAATATGCATGTAGTTATCTAGAGGGGTCCTTAAGTATTGTGGAGGCCTTATTAACGTGGAGGCCTTATTAACATATGCAGGAAAATAAATGTTGCAATTTTTAAATCCTGAATATTTTAATCCTAAATTTTAATTATCTCGAATATTTTATTTAGGATTTTGCAGAAAGTTACAATTTTAAGGTCTTTAATGAGCCTAGATTATATCGTGAAATCCCAGATAAGCCACAGAAAGAAACAAAGAAAACACATGCAAGTGCAGACATGCAGTATGATGCAAAGAACAAAACAAGCCAAATCAAAATAATAAACAGGCCGGTGCCGCTGGGTTAGCAACATATCCCAGAAAAGAAAAGGGTGGTCGGACTCCGCATATACACGCCCGGTCCTAATTCTATACATCAATATAAAATGTAGAATTAAGATACGGGGCATGAGCATCTGCTCCTGGTCCCCTCTACGTGGTTCCCGCACCAAACGCCTCGGAACCCGTGCCCGTATCTTATTTCTGCTATAGGACTCTCCTGGACTCTAAAAATTACATAGGAAAATAAAAGACTCAATCCTGCATGAAAACAAGTGTCAGCGGGAAAGATCACATGCAAACAACGTATCATGAGTCATACCTTAAAAGTGGGGGAGCTAATAGCATCTGCAAGCAAAAAGGTCAGAAATCATTACTTGCTCCCCCATAGCGGTACCTGTGTGTGTGCATATAAATAGGCATGACTCCCTGTAGAAAAGTGCCCTAACACACTACCACACATATGCAGCATGCACACACACCACAAGCATAATGCAAAAGAAAGATACCTGACTAGGGCAACCAATCCAACAGAGAACAATAGTTAGACATCAAAAAGACTACCTAGCACCCTAAATCCTAGCCTAGCACACCGTTTAATAAAAAGTGCGTCAACTGCGTCAGCCTAGTATCTAAGCGTGGGGTAAGTCTGGGTATAGTATGACTTTGACAGGGTCGTCATACCGGCCCCATCCTAAAGATCCGAACGATCTAAAGGGTGTCACGAGGAGGGGTGACACAAGTTAGATCTATTAGATATTTAGCATAGTCATACTCATGTCAATCCCGATGACTTAACTCGCATTGCTCACCAGGATCAGCCCAGCCAAGCAATGCTTGTTAAGGCATCGCGACCAACACGAGGTCACTCTCCTAACGAGTCTGGCTCGCTATATATGCAAACATGCAAATGCAAATGTAAACAGTCATGTGATAGAAATGATGAGTGTACCATGAGCAGTGACTCAGGAAAAGGTGGGCATGTCGTGGAGGCAGCGACCCAAACAAATGAGTGTGTCGTAGTGGCAGTGACCCAAAAAGTAGGCGTACCGTAGAGGCAACGCCCTGAAGGTGTGCCAAGACGGCAGTGACCAAAAGGGATGGTCATGCCATGGAGGCAGTGGCCCGAAGAAAGGTGTACCGAGGCGGCAGTAACTCGGAGACAGTGTCGATTCTCAATGGGGAGCATCACCCAAATGCAGATGCAAATGCAAATGCAAACACATATGGTGCAACATGCAAGCAGGCAACCATGTGGTATAATGTAAAAGCAAACAAAAATACAGGTGACCGGTCGACCGGGTCGTGGTGACCGGTCGACGGGGCCTTGGTGGCCGGTCGAACCAAAGTGATTAGTCGACCGATTCGGGATGACCGACCGAGGCACAAATGGTGTTGACCGGTCTGATACGACCAATCGAGGCACAAGTGGTGTCGGTGCAAGTGTAAATGTGAGACACAAGGTGCAATTGCAAGTGCAACGTGCAAATGCAAGATGCAAAGTCCAAGTGCAAGTGTCGATGCGATATGTGACATACAATATGTAACATGCAGTACATGCACATGCAAACAATGAGGTGCAAATGACCACATATGATAGTGAGTGATGCTTGTACTAACAAACTCACCCGGGAGACCTAAAGTTTAGACCATTAGATGTGCGGCACCACCGCCAATTGCATTAGTTAGGAAATATGGGAAATTTCCCTCCGGATCTCCGAGGGAGAAACTCTCCACGACGTCACAAAATAGGATAGCTACAAAGCTTTTTCCTATTTTGCGAACTCCTCCATACTTTGCAAAGTGAGCCAACTACAAAGCTTCTCTCGCCTTGTCAAGTCCGACCTCCAAACTTCTCCAAGTAAAGCGGGGGAATCCAAAGCAAGGGGAGTGAGGGACTCCGACCCATCAGGACTTGTGCTAAGGCTCACAACAAAGGGAAACACTTGGCTCTACGGAGGGGTATTTGGTCACGCACAAGAAGTCCTAACCTAAAGGCTGGCTCTAGGAAATCCAACGATCCATCACGCAGGCACGCCATCGTGCCGACCCATGTTGGCGCACGCACCCCGTGTGGGAGATCGAACCCACACACCTAGACTCCACTATTTTAAGGAAGGCTAGAAGGTATAAAGTCCTACCATCGCGACGGTTGCAGACGCGTTTCTTTCTTGCTCCGCTCCAAGCTTGCCGGCGTCCGATCCATGCTCCAATGCGCCTCGTAAAACGTGCACATGACAACAAAAAGACGTAGGAGGTGGTGAGTCAGTGAGGTATGCGAAGTACCAGAAAATAAATAATTTAGCATATAAAAATATGCGACGCCAAAAAAAGTACCTTCGCAAAAGAGGATCATTTGATGACGGTGAAAGAGAGGAAGCTTTCTTTGGAGAGGAAAAGATGTCCACGCCTCTCCAAGTTGATGTACCGTCGTTGTCCGTCGACGGTAGGACACTCCGGTGAAGTTCCGACCAGCGGGGAATATAGAGTCGACGAGGTCGAAGAACTAACTCGTTGGCGGAAAGCAAAAAGAAATGCGAGGGGAGAGGTTTAAGCTTTGCCCCATTTTCTGCGAGCAAAGGAAGTGAAGGCTGGCTAAAACATGCCAGCGGGAGGTCTGCACGCCGGAGGAGGCTTCGCCGGCGAGTGGGAGGCCAAGAAGAGGGGGTGGACGGCCAACGGCATTAAGGATAACGCCGGCAAGAAGAAGAAAGAGCATGATAGATGTTCGGCGGGCTGCTGTGCGGGGGGAGCTTCAGAGCCGGGAGGGGAGCCAGCGGCGAGGAGGAGCTTCAGAGACCGGAGGGGAGCCAGCGGCGAGGAGGAGCTCCAGCGTCGGACGTGAGGAGGCTGGGTATGCTTCGTAGACCAGAGAGGGAGCAGGTAGGTTTGCAAAATAAACAGAGGAGCGCTGCCGTGGAGGGAAGAGACGCTGGCAAGCTTGCTGGTGGTGTCGCCAACCATGAATCGGGGGTGAGATCCACGAAAATGAGGTTGGCGACGTTGGAGGCTAGGGTTCGCGTGCGGAGGAAGGAGCCTTTCGCGAAAATGGGGGTGGCGGCCGAGCTTTTCGCGAACGATCGGGAGAGGGGAGGAGAGGGCGTAGGTTTTAATAATATATATATTATATTATATTATATAATAATAATAATAATAATATTATTATTATTATCATTTGTGTAGTCTTCACCTGTACCCGTCCTCGCTGCGAAGTGGATGTCCTTCCTGGCTAAAATCAACGCTTTGGATGCGTTGGTGCAGCCTATTTCGTCATTCGGGGTCATCCGAACCACTTTTTCGACTATCGTGCCCAAAACAACAATTCGGGCACTTTCACCCCACCCGCGAAGCTGTAGCGAAGTGGACATCCCCCGTAAGTAAAATCAGCATTCCAGACATAGTGGAGAGGTCCATTTTACCATCCGGGGTCATCTAGACAACTTCGCCGACGATCAGGTTAATTTGAGTCAAAATCGCATGCGATGCGCCACATAATATTTTTCGCCCCGATCGGAGTCGTATGACGTGCCAAATGTCGGCCGGCCTTCACCTAAGAAAAATTCATAGTCTAGCAAAATGACTCTGACTACGTGCCCCTCAACACGCGTCAAAAAGGTCTCGGGTAGGTGTCTGAACTATCGGACGTCACGGACATACCGTAAACTATCCAGAGTCATGCGGGTGGACACCCTACACTCATGACATCAAAAATTAATGCCAACATGGTGCAAGATGTGCAGTTTGGCAGAGGCTTGGCGCACGATGGGCCGAAGAAAACTTTTTGTGGATTAAGGCGGTTCGAGATGAATTTTGTACGAATTTTCGATGGGAAACTTATTCTACACACCTATTGGAGTAATTCAATGCATCTAGACACTTTGGAAGTCTCTTTTATGAAGGGATACGTCTCTTGGATCAAATGACACATCTTTTGAATTAAAATAATTTGACTTTTGGAGGGAATTTTGAATTTTTATCTTAAAGAGGCAGCTCAGAGTAAACATTCTTCCATTTTTCATTCCATAATCATTTAGAGTCCATTGTTCTTATAATTTTGAGTTTTGTGGTGATATTAAGTGTGAACTCTTCTCTAAGAGTGTTGGAGAACGACAAAAGCAAGGCTACTAGGTAAAATTAAGAGATAATAAGGGATTTGCTTGAGCTACAAGGGATTTACTTTAAGAAAGACTTTCAAATAAGTGTTGTTTGTTTATTAGTGTTGTATGAACTTTCTTTTATATATAAAATTTGTGTTTTGTTGTATGTTTCTCATGAATTTTGAGTAGTCTTTTTTATCTTTCTCCCTTCTTTGAGATAGATTTTGTGAAGAATTGATTTTGTTTTCTATGGTTTTAAATGTCAATAATTTGTGATGATTTGAACTTCAATCTTATTTGAACTGTGATGATTTGAACTTCAATCTTCATTTATTTTTTGATCTGACCAATTGAAATGTTAAAATAAGTTGAGAAACATAAGTTTTGAACAAGGCTATGATTTCTAAAATAGGGAGAGAATCACATTTAATTTCATGGGAGAGTATGTCATCCATGAAATTGAGCACAAATAAATAGAGAAATATACTTTGTTGGATGCAGAATTGGAGATTTTAAGGTGACAGATTAGAATCTCTAATTTGGTACAGTTGATTGGAAACTAATGTGAGATTGTCTGCCCTCAGGGGAGGCAGTAGTGAGAGCTCTAGAATGGCAGTCGGTATCCTCCCAGCATAACCACAAAACTAGGGACTAAACTTCAGATTAGCCAATGTTCTTTATAGCACTTGGAAGAGGGTAAAGAATATAATTTCTACTATTTGACACAAAACAATTTTTATATATTTTTTTCAAATGATTTTAATTAGTTTACAATCCTTATACTCATTGTAAAGAGGAGGGATGCTTTCTTAAATTTGAATCTTTCGTCAACAAAAACTTTGTTTAGTTTTTGTAATTTTACTTTTGAAAGTTTAGTTTTTAGTTATTTAACTCTGTCATTCAACTGCATTTTATTAACATTCACTTTAGTAGTTAATATTCAAACTTCACACTTCACTTTTATTTTTGTATTTTTAAATTATAAAATAACTTTAAGAATTTACTTATAGGTTTTTTGAACTTCCCTGTGGGATCGATATCTAGAACTCCATTAGATACGTATACTTGTTGAGTGATACGTATACTTGTGTTGATTTTAAAGGGGATTTGATAGTTTAAAAAGAGTTTTAACAATAAACTATTTTCATAAAAGGTATTTTGTTGGGGTTATATTGCATATTTATTGTTACATCTTTCGTGTGTATTTTATAATATTGAAAAATATTTACAAAATTTACACACTAAATCTACCTGCATCAAGTTTTTGGCGCCGTTGCCGAGGAAGTAATAGAAAATATTAGTAAGTTATTTTATTTTATTATAAAAAAATATTAAAAAAGTGGTTGTAGTTTAGTTTTGAACATTTGCTTATTAAGTGTGTTTGCTTATTTTTAATTACTTGCTTTGTTTGTTTATGCGCAGTTTAAGATCTGAAAATTTAATACCTTACGATTCTGAGTTAGAGAGAACTATTAGAAAATTTTGAAAACAACACAAAGAAATAGATCATTTTAGCAAAATGGCTTGCAATTTGAGTAATGCTAGAAATGAAAATGAACATCATCAGAGACTTTTAAGTGATTATGTTAGTCCTACAGCAGATGAAATTCATTTG